CTCCTCCTTCCCCTTCCCCCTCCTCCTCGACCCCCTCCTCGGCTCCGTCCGCCCCCTTCCCCTCCTCCCTGAACCCCTCCTCAGCTCCGTCCGCCCCTCCCCTCCCCTCCTTCTCTCTCCTCATCCGTATCCTCTCCTCCTCCCCCTTCCCCCTCCTCCCCGACCCCTCCTCTACATCAAGAATTTCACAGACCAAGGAAAATCCATGTTTCTGGAGCTTCTTCATATGGTTGTTTCACAGCCAAATGGGTCATCATCATCAACCCCACAGGTATTTATTTGTTATAACTTTTTTCGTTGGTTTACGTTTGTTGTTAGTTTTGATAAGCTAAATTGCCTAATAAGAAATCTGAACTTTATTTCGCTGCATTAAAGTCTAACCTTGAATAAGTAGTAATATAATTTTTGAATCCAGCAGCCAAAATTGAAACCAATTATCTCAAAGAATGTCAGGTTCATTAATGTTTCTCTTAAGCTTGACCAAAGTTGAAATGGTGATAGATATATATATAACATATAATATGTCCACTTGGAATATGACATATGTTATTTTGATCTGGTTACTCATACATAAAGAAACCTGTGTTTTTGACCTGTTCAAATTTGAGAAATGAAAATCTCATCGTAATGCTATCGTAAATTCAATTATCCTTGAAATAGCCAATGACATATGTGATATTTTAGTATGCTGTGTGACTTATGCTGCATTTAGTCACATTTTGGTATTTTGTGTGACTTTTATGGTTATTACGTGACATTTTAGTATTCTGTATGACTCTTTGGGCGCATATGTGATATTTCAGTATTCTGTGTGACTTTTGGGGCTGTTATGTGATTTTTTTACATTCTCTATGTTATATTCTTGTTACCAGTTACATATCCTGCTATTAAGTGTTATGTTATATTTCTACAGATATGATTATGGCATACATACGTATTTTTTCATCAAGGCGATCCTCGAGGGAAGGGAGATAATGAACGTTGAAGCCTTGCACATGGAGTCGCATATGCTACGAGTAGGACTTGCTGCTCAACTCATATGTGAAGGGCGTGAATGAAAAAAACTACGGTTGAAATTAGACAGTGACGATCCAGAATATTTTTTGTACTTTGGGGTAGTGATGTACCTATGATTGAGTGGAAGTATTAGACTCTACATGTAACTGTAATATTTGTTTAAACGCTATGATGTAAAGGATAACTGGTTTACTAGTTGTGTGTGACATTTGTTGGATTGTTGTGTGAGCTATATGTGAAGATATGTGACCATTAGTATGATGTGTAATGTTTGGGGCTTTTATGTGACGTTTTAGTATGGTGTGTGACTTTTGCTTCTTGTATGTGATATTTTGGTATTCTGTGTGACTTTTGAGGCTGTTATGTGATGTTTTAGTATGCTGTGTGACTTTTGCTCCTTGTATGTGACATTTTGGTGTTCTGTGTGACTTTTGAGGCTGTTATGTGACATTTTAGTATGTTGTGTGACTTTTACTTCTTGTATGTGACATTTTGGTATGTACCATTGATTGAGTGGAAGTATTAGACAAACACATAAGTATTTCATTTGTTGGATGTTGGATGTTTACTAGCTGTTTGTAAATGATAAAATGTGCACTTGTAATTTCTTGGTGATCTTTTTTCTTTAGCATATTAAATAGAATCTAAAAGTAAAGTTCTTATAGGTATCACTGTTAATACTAACAAGTCACACGAACAGGTAATATGTCACATTTAAGTAGCAAATATCACAACAAAAGGGAAAATGTAACATGTAACAGACAACAGTCACAAAAGAGTTTGAATTCTTCCAGGAAACGTTAATCTTGGATAGGTTTAGTGCACGTGGCTTAGTTATGTCCTTCAGCGTGATATCATATCGCAAATAGGAAGTGTTCTCGCCAAACGAATCCAATTATTGTAAGATTCAGCAATATTGGAAGTGATATGACCATATCTGTGTATAAGCGACGATTATTCATCCTTTCCATAAATTTGAGTATATGGTTATGAGAATTTACAAACAGCTAGTAACTGCTTACGCGAACATAACACAATCAGCTAGTAACTGGTTACAAGAACATAACATAAATTATTGTAAGATCACCAAGAATTTACAAACAGCTAGTAACTGGTTACGAGAACATAACACAATCACACCTGTAAAAATATAACATACCACAGCATACTAAAATGTTACATAACAGCCCCAAAAGTTACACAGAATATCAAAATGTCACATACAAGAAGCAAAAGTCACACAGCATACTAAAATGTCACATAACAGCCTCAAAAGTCACACAGAACACCAAAATGTCACATACAAGGAGCAAAAGTCACACAGCATACTAAAACATCACATAACAGCCTCAAAAGTCACACAGAACACCAAAATGTCACATACAAGGAGCAAAAGTCACACAGCATACTAAAACATCACATAACAGCCTCAAAAGTCACACAGAACACCAAAATGTCACATACAAGGAGCAAAAGTCACACAGCATACTAAAACATCACATAACAGCCTCAAAAGTCACACAGAACACCAAAATGTCACATACAAGGAGCAAAAGTCACACAGCATACTAAAACATCACATAACAGCCTCAAAAGTCACACAGAACACCAAAATGTCACATACAAGGAGCAAAAGTCACACAGCATACTAAAACATCACATAACAGCCTCAAAAGTCACACAGAACACCAAAATGTCACATACAAGGAGCAAAAGTCACACAGCATACTAAAACATCACATAACAGCCTCAAAAGTCACACAGAACACCAAAATGTCACATACAAGGAGCAAAAGTCACACAGCATACTAAAACATCACATAACAGCCTCAAAAGTCACACAGAACACCAAAATGTCACATTTCAACTTTGGTCAAGCTTATAGAGAAACATTAATGAACCTGACATTCTTTGAGATAATTGGTTTCAATTTTGGCTGCTGGATTCAAAAATTATATTACTACTTATTCAAGGTTAGACTTTAATGCAGCGAAATAAAGTTCAGATTTCTTATTAGGCAATTTAGCTTATCAAAACTAACAACAAACGTAAATCAACGAAAAAAGTTATAACAAATAAATACCTGTGGGGTTGATGATGATGACCCATTTGGCCGTGAAACAACCATATAAAGAAGCTCCAGAAACATGGATTTTCCTTGGTCTGCGAAATTCTTGATGTAGAGGAGGGGTCGGGGAGGAGGGGGAAGGGGGAGGAGGAGAGGATACGGATGAGGAGAGAGAAGGAGGGGAGGGGAGGGGCGGACGGAGCTGAGGAGGGGTTCAGGGAGGAGGGGAAGGGGGCGGACGGAGCCGAGGAGGGGGTCGAGGAGGAGGGGGAAGGGGGAGGAGGAGAGGATGCGACGGAGGAGGGAGGAGGAGGGGAAGAGGGGGGAAGGGGAGGAGCAGAGGATGCGATGGAGGAGGGGAGGGGAGGGGAGGAGGCGGACTGAGCCGAGGAGGGCGTCGTGGAGGAGGAGAGTGCGAATGAGGAGGGAGCAGGAGAGGAGGGGAGGAAATGGATTGAGTTTTAATTGGGAAGAAGGGTAATTTGGGAAGTGATTTTCTTGGGGAGTGGGTTTGGGGGTTGCTTGCATATATTTTTTAATTTTAGGGCTAATGGGTTATGGTTGTTGGGCTGGGGGTGGGGATGCTTGGCCCAACTTATTTTGCTTCCTCCAAGCAATTTTCCCTTATATTAATAATCGAGGCTGCCACCCCCAAACAAGGAGTAAAAAAATAAAGGACAAATTTTAAATAAAAAAAAGGGAAAAAGCTCTTCTAACCCAAAGTTTTACCCCCAATTATTTAAAAACCCACTCACTTTTACAAACACCAATAGATCCACTGTATCTCATCTCACTTATTTTTAAACCCAACATGTATAATACACCCATTTTTTGTACTGTATTTACCCAATAAATTAAAAATTCATAAACTACCCTTAATTCCCAAATTCCCAAATTTAACTCATCTCCTCTCTCTGTTTCGTTTCTCTTCCGTTTCACTTTCTCAAAGAATCCAGGAGAGACTAGGGTTTCGACGAGATCTTTGGTTGAGGAACACCGGCGGCGGCGAAGGGAGTTGGTTCGACGGTGAGCGACGACGTACGGCGGCTACACGGGTCTGAAAGCGGAGGACATTTGGAGCGACGACGGACGGCGGCTGCACGGGTCTGAAAGCGGGTAACACACTAATCTTCCCCTTTTCCTCTCTAATACTTGAAATTAAGCCCCTAGATCATCGAATTTCATCACAAGTTCCTCATATCACTGAGTGTTTTCATATTTCGAATGAGGTTGTAGAGAAGGCGACGAAGAGAGTTAGGGCTTGGATTAATCGGGTTTTGTCTGTAGCGAGAGATATTGGAGTTGGGAGAGATCAAAAGAAAGGGTTTCCTGCAGTTGTGATTAAGCTCTTTTTTAAAATTAATTTATGGAAATGGATGATCTCTTGACCTAATTATGTTGATGTTTGGTATAATTTAGGTCATCGTGGGACTGTATTGTTGCGCACATTGAAAGTTCGTTTAGTATCTTCACTCTTATTTACATCGGTGAGTACTAACAATTTATCCATTGTTTGGCTAACCTAATTAAAGTTCCAAAAGAAAAACACTTTCTTTTGAAATTAAGCCCCTTGTTGTAGTTTTGATCACATGCAACTTGCACGTATAAATTGTTGAAAGGGCCCGAAAGATAAGAATGTACTTATATCACTGTAATCTCTCAAACATCTAAGGTTTAACACCTATGATAGCTTGGTGTTGAAATCATTATTTATAAAGGAATTCCAACCTATCGCTGGGATATTCATAATTATATTGTACTTTTTGAAATATTTGTCAATAGGTTGTCGAAGATGTCAAGCAGAAGGAGATCGAGGGGTTCTTCCCAATCGACGTCTAAGGCTACTAAGTAAGTAAATTATAATTTATCTGAAATTATTGTTATTTCCTAAATTTTAATTATTTCTTATTTTTTACTTGTAAATGAAATTGAATATGAAGATTTGGATCCCTAGATCCCTAGATACGTCTGATACATACGAATGATAAATAAGAGCATCAGGAGAAAACTCCAACATAACTAGTGTTCTGCGACAATAGTTGTTTTTTATCCTACATCAATGAAACAGTAGATAATAAGTTGGTAATAGAGGAATTAAACAATAGATATTAGCATGTGAAGAGTTGAATATATTGATAAAAGTTTACATGAGCAACTCCTTCATTATCAAATTTAGCTGTATAAAGATGCTTATTGTCCATGTTTTGACTTATTTCCAGTTAAGTCTCTGACCATGCTAAATATACCCTATAATACCAATTTCACTGATTTGTCTATATTATTGTTTGTATACATCAGCTTTGTCCTTTTGTTTGTGGCTGTAAAAAGTTCATTTTTTTAAAAAGTCGTTTACGCTACACAGTTTTACGAGAGTTCTAGTATGGGGTCATCAAAATTTTAATCTTAGATGATGTAATTAACGTCTTGAAGATAAAAGCAACTCAACGTAAAAGGTATCTTTATTCGGAACACTATGGAAATGTGGACAATAGAGTTAGACACATTCGTGCTACCATTTTTCTCAGACTTTCTTCTCCTTCTTCGCGGCAAACATCAGAGGAACTCCGAAATAGTTTAATCACTTGCATGTATTCAATAGGGAAGCTTGAGAATTTTCTGAGTCGGACTCCTGACGATGAGCAAGTGTAGAGATTTTAAGTTTTTCGCTTGGAACAATACTGTGTTTGTTTTCAAATGTAAAGAACATATATTTTCTTTCATATTGTTTACTTTAATGTGGACTTGATTTTCAACTTCTGTTATGTGCATACCTTATAATGCTTTGTATTTGCAAGTTATTATTGGCTTGGACATTTGTTGGGTGCAAACAAAAATGATTTCGTTGTTATCTTTTGCTCATAATCTGCTCATGTGAAGCTTATTGCTGAACAATTGTGGCTACTAATTGGTTCCTTTATTTACCTTGTTGTAGCTCAACTCTTCAAAAGTAATTTTCCAACAGTAATAACTAGTATTAACAGTTGCACCCACATGCGGATCATCAGTGTGAGGCTTATATCGTGTGAAAGGTCAAGTATCTTCTCAGTTGAAGGATGGATTTTCTGGTGCTTCTTGTCTGGCCTATTGGATTTTTGATATATGTCCCATGGTTTCTATTAATGGTTCCTTATCACAGCCCGTGTAAAAAGATCATAGACATTATATTTGCTTCATGATTATTTATGTACTAAAAGTATTATTCTCTCTGTATTATTAGCAGGTTCAGTGTGTAGTCAAATGTTTTAAGTTCTTAATGCTTTATCACTTTGCTTTACGATCTCTTAATTTTTACATTTATAAGGGCCATTCGTTTTGATTGATGTATTCTTTTTGTTCTTTTTGTAGGAAAAATGTTGCAGAGTTAAGATTACCTTCAAATATTGGCGTATTTCGTGATTTGGTGAATAATCGTCTAAGGCCTTTGCTAAATAATAATCATTATGAAGCCCTCCGTCAAACCCCTTTTTTCCACTTCATTAATCTACCGGCTATTCCTAATGAACAAGTTTCAGTTGATTGCTTGCTTCATGCATTTAATCCAGAGCATAGCTCATTCAGGATTGGGGGAAAGGATATCGTGTTCAGTTTTGTACATGTGCATGAAATAACCGGATTGCCGAAGACTGGAAATAAGGTTGTAATGGATGGTCGAGCGCCTAATACTATATACACCGAGCATGTGTATGGTAAGAAGACCCAAACAGAGAAGGAGGAGGAGAAGAAGGCCGGTAAGAGGAAGAAGAGGAAAGTCGACAAGAAGGATGAAAATAAAGATAAAAAGAAAGTGTGGGCCACACGCAAGAGGATGGCCGATTTGATCGTGGAGTTGGCAGTCTCCAACCACATAGCATGTGTGAAATTGCTTGTTGCCTTTATTATTGGATTTGTATTATGCCCGCAGCCCTCTAACTCATGTCCATTGTGAGCATTTAGATATGCGAACAATTTACTTGCTCTTTGTTCTTACAATTGGGCTGGTGCCGTGTATGATCTACTGCATAAGGAGATGACGAAGGCAAAATTGTCCATCACAAAGAGAGCAGTAGGAAAGAGGTCACGAGCCGGATACATGGGAGGGTTTGCTTCAGTCTTGGTGGTGAGTTTAAGGATCATTATATAATTTTATTTGCATATGTTCTACTAGTTGTAACTAAATTAATTTGTTTTTTTAAGGATCATTATATAATTTTATTTGCATATGTTCTACTAGTTGTAACTAAATTAATTTGTTTTTTTTTTGTAGGTTTGGTTTTATGAACTAGTGGGGGAGCTCAAGTGTGAAATAAAAGAGGATTCCTTACACCCCATTTTTATTGAGAGGAAGTCTCGATCATTACGGCGAAAAGGGATGATGAGGATAATTGAAAACCCAAAGTGTATTAGGAATTACACTAGTCAACCCACCATATCAACCATTCCTAGTGCATCACGTCATCAACCGGTATGTACACTTCATTTCTCTATTGTTGTGTTATTGCTATCAATCTATTATATCTTTTTCGAATGCTAACCCATTCATTGTGTTGTATTTGTAGGCGATGACATTACATCAAGTACGTGATCTGCTTGCCAAAAATAGAGAGGAGTATGAGGAGCTTATTGAGTTGGAGAAAAAATTGATTAGTGGCGGTAATTGTGGTAATGAAGCTAAAAATGAAACTGAAGGGGAAGAAGAAAGCGATGGGGATGATGAGGAGGATGGTGGTGATGATGGGGATGATGAGGATGATGGTGGCGATGATGGGGATGATGGGGATGATGGTGATGGGGATGATGAGGATGATGGTGGCGATGATGGGGATGATGGGGATGACGACAATACTAATGTCGGGGGGAATGTCGTTGAGGATGACAAGGGTAATACAGGGGAACGAGGAGTACAGAGTAATGAAGAGATGGGTGAAGATGTTGAAAGGAGTGAGAAATCCAGTGGTCGATCTAATTCCAAGCGTAAGGGAAAGCAACCAGAGATGATTGCAGAAGAGCTCATTGAAGATGAAGACTTCTTGCCTATATCTTTTTCAAGGACGTCAGCAAGGGACATTAAAGCTAGGACCCCATCAATTAAACGGGTCGTTAGAGATAGGAAACGTCAACCCGCACGTGCAAGACGTTCACCTTACACACAGTTGTGCGGCCGAGGCCGTCATGAGAAGAAGGAGATAATTAATGTTTCACAATTGCAAACGCCGGGGTGTGATAAAAAGAATGAAGTGATTGATGTTTCCTAATTGCAAACGCCGCAGAAGAGAAGGAATGTCAATAGCGCGACTGATTTTATTCCAAAGAATTGCGATTACCCGGCAAAGGGATAGTTAACTGAAAGTGAGAGGAAACTCCTTGATGAGTTTTGCAAGAAGAGAATGAACAGGTGTAATTTTGAACCACACATGCGATTTTCATAACTTTCATTTTATGTTGCGCTTCCTTTCATATTACATCTACTAACTTGTGTTTGTTTCATTTGTCATAGAGATGAGTATGTTTGGCAATCTGTTACCCGGTTAGATGTGTATCATCTTCTTATTGGAAGCGCAATTTCCGATAGTGTAAGTTCCCAATCTTTAATAGTTTTGTGCGTATTTCCATATTTTAGTTGTGATCATTCTATTATGAATAATTTTCAGTTAGTCGATGGTATGATAGTTCTAGTATGGGGTCATCAAAATTTTAATCTTAGATGATGTAATTAACGTCTTGAAGATAAAAGCAACTCAACGTAAAAGGTATCTTTATTCGGAACACTATGGAAATGTGGACAATAGAGTTAGACACATTCGTGCTACCATTTTTCTCAGACTTTCTTCTCCTTCTTCGCGGCAAACATCAGAGGAACTCCGAAATAGTTTAATCACTTGCATGTATTCAATAGGGAAGCTTGAGAATTTTCTGAGTCGGACTCCTGACGATGAGCAAGTGTAGAGATTTTAAGTTTTTCGCTTGGAACAATACTGTGTTTGTTTTCAAATGTAAAGAACATATATTTTCTTTCATATTGTTTACTTTAATGTGGACTTGATTTTCAACTTCTGTTATGTGCATACCTTATAATGCTTTGTATTTGCAAGTTATTATTGGCTTGGACATTTGTTGGGTGCAAACAAAAATGATTTCGTTGTTATCTTTTGCTCATAATCTGCTCATGTGAAGCTTATTGCTGAACAATTGTGGCTACTAATTGGTTCCTTTATTTACCTTGTTGTAGCTCAACTCTTCAAAAGTAATTTTCCAACAGTAATAACTAGTATTAACAGTTGCACCCACATGCGGATCATCAGTGTGAGGCTTATATCGTGTGAAAGGTCAAGTATCTTCTCAGTTGAAGGATGGATTTTCTGGTGCTTCTTGTCTGGCCTATTGGATTTTTGATATATGTCCCATGGTTTCTATTAATGGTTCCTTATCACAGCCCGTGTAAAAAGATCATAGACATTATATTTGCTTCATGATTATTTATGTACTAAAAGTATTATTCTCTCTGTATTATTAGCAGGTTCAGTGTGTAGTCAAATGTTTTAAGTTCTTAATGCTTTATCACTTTGCTTTACGATCTCTTAATTTTTACATTTATAAGGGCCATTCGTTTTGATTGATGTATTCTTTTTGTAGGAAAAATAAAGCAGAGTTAAGATTGCCTTCAAATATCGGCGTATTTCGTGACTTGGTGAACAATCGGTTAAGGCCTTTGCTACATAACAATCATTATGAAGCCCTCCGTCAAACCCCTTTTTTCCACTTCATTAATCTACCGGCTATTCCTAATGAACAAGTTTCAGTTGATTGCTTGCTTCATGCATTTAATCCAGAGCATAGCTCATTCAGGATTGGGGGAAAGGATATCGTGTTCAGTTTTGTACATGTGCATGAAATAACCGGATTGCCGAAGACTGGAAATAAGGTTGTAATGGATGGTCGAGCGCCTAATACTATATACACCGAGCATGTGTATGGTAAGAAGACCCAAACAGAGAAGGAGGAGGAGAAGAAGGCCGGTAAGAGGAAGAAGAGGAAAGTCGACAAGAAGGATGAAAATAAAGATAAAAAGAAAGTGTGGGCCACACGCAAGAGGATGGCCGATTTGATCGTGGAGTTGGCAGTCTCCAACCACATAGCTTGTGTGAAATTGCTTGTTGCCTTTATTATTGGATTTGTATTATGCCCGCAGCCCTCTAACTCATGTCCATTGTGGGTATTTAGATATGCGAACAATTTACTTGCTCTTCGTTCTTACAATTGGGCTGGTGCCGTGTATGATCTACTGCATAAGGAGATGACGAGGGCAAAATTGTCCATCACAAAGAGAGCAGTAGGAGAGAGGTCACGAGCCGGATACATGGGAGGGTTTGCTTCAGTCTTGGTGGTGAGTTTTAAGGATCATTATATAATTTTATTTGCATATGTTCTACTAGTTGTAACTAAATTAATTTGTTTTTTTTTGTAGGTTTGGTTTTATGAACTAGTGGGGGAGCTCAAGTGTGAAATAAAAGAGGATTCCTTACACCCCATTTTTATTGAGAGGAAGTCTCGATCATTACGGCGAAAAGGGATGATGAGGATAATTGAAAACCCAAAGTGTATTAGGAATTACACTAGTCAACTCACCATATCAACCATTCCTAGTGCATCACGTCATCAACCGGTATGTACACTTCATTTCTCTATTGTTGTGTTATTGCTATCAATCTATTATATCTTTTTCGAATGCTAACCCATTCATTGTGTTGTATTTGTAGGCGATGACATTACATCAAGTACGTGACCTGCTTGCCAAAAATAGAGAGGAGTATGAGGAGCTTATTGAGTTGGAGAAAAAATTGATTAGTGGCGGTAATTGTGGTAATGAAGCTGAAAATGAAACTGAAGGGGAAGAAGAAAGCGATGGGGATGATGAGGAGGATGGTGGTGATGATGGGGATGATGAGGATGATGGTGGCGATGATGGGGATGATGGGGATGACGACAATACTAATGTCGGGGGGAATGTCGTTGAGGATGACAAGGGTAATACAGGGGAACGAGGAGTACAGAGTAATGAAGAGATGGGTGAAGATGTTGAAAGGAGTGAGAAATCCAGTGGTCGATCTAATTCCAAGCGTAAGGGAAAGCAACCAGAGATGATTGCAGAAGAGCTCATTGAAGATGAAGACTTCTTGCCTATATCTTTTTCAAGGACGTCAGCAAGGGACATCAAAGCTAGGACCCCATCAATTAAACGGGTCGTTAGAGATAGGAAACGTCAACCCGCACGTGCAAGACGTTCACCTTACACACAGTTGCGCGGCCGAGGCCGTCATGAGAAGAAGGAGATAATTAATGTTTCACAATTGCAAACGCCGGGGTGTGATGAAAAGAATGAAGTGATTGATGTTTCCCAATTGCAAACGCCGCAGAAGAGAAGGAATGTCAATAGCAAGACTGATTTTATTCCAAAGAATTGCGATTACCCGGCAAAGGGACAGTTAACTGAAAGTGAGAGGAAACTCCTTGATGAGTTTTGCAAGAAGAGAATGAACAGGTGTAATTTTGAACCACACATGCGATTTTCATAACTTTCATTTTATGTTGCGCTTCCTTTCATATTACATCTACTAACTTGTGTTTGTTTCATTTGTCATAGAGATGAGTATGTTTGGCAATCTGTTACCCGGTTAGATGTGTATCATCTTCTTATTGGAAGCGCAATTTCCGATAGTGTAAGTTCCCAATCTTTAATAGTTTTGTGCGTATTTCCATATTTTAGTTGTGATCATTCTATTATGAATAATTTTCAGTTAGTCGATGGTATGATAGAGAGATTTAAGATGAAGATTGAAACAGAAGCATATTCAAAACACATACACATCACAGGATCATTCTTTGCTGTGAGTATTAGGAAAATTTACTATCATTTATATTATTTTTTGTTAAATGTTATGGTCATGTTTTAACAGAGATCGTTACTAGAAGATAATCCCGGCCATTGGGCAAGACTACTCAAGGGTCGACAGCTTCCACGTGCACGCTTTGAAGATAGCGAGAAGATAATTTTTCCTATTCTTAGCAGTAGTCATTGGCATTTATTGGAATTGATTAAGGCTGAGAAAAAATTTTATCACTATTCCTCACTCACATACATTAAATATCTTAATGATGCCAAGATGTTCATGAACAATTTCTTAGCTTGCATAAAGGATGAATGGAAAATAAAAAATGTGGATGAGTATAGTATAGAAACCCGACAGGTTGCTCAACAGGATGGGTATGACTATAACTTAAAATGTATTAATGTGATTCATTTTCCTAACATATTATCATTTTATCATGTAATCATTGATTGCGGCATTTGTTTGTGCAGGAGCTTAGACTGCGGCATTTTCATGATGGGATACATATATTCCATCATCAACGACACACCACCATTCATTCAACAGGATGATTGTGAACTTCTGCGAGCAAAGATCGCTATTGCCTTTATCTCGGAGGAAGCAGAAAATCTGTTAGAAGATGCATTTACTCAGGATGAAGACTCTCAATATAAATGTCCTGGATGTTCTGAATGTTGAAGTTGAACATGAGCTTAGAGATTTGTACTTGGCAGATTCATTTTGCGTTCATTTTGTGTTAATTGTATACTTGGCAAATTGATTTTGTGTTGATTGTGTAGCTTAGATCTGTGCAGGAGCATAGGGAGTTGATTTTTGTAGTGGAATTGTGTATATGTTGTTTTATGCTATAATTGTGTTATTATTGTCAAAGTTCTGTGAATGTTGAAGTTGTACAGGAGCTTAGATCTGTGTTTTTGTCAAATTCGTGCGGTGTTGATTGGTTACTGCTCGTTTCAACTAGTTTTTACTTTTTAGTTGGTTACTGCTCGTTCGTAAAATTGATGCCAGTATTGATGTTCTTCGTGCGCCCTTTCCTGCTTTTCCTTTGTTGCATCCTCATCTAATTTTAACCAGCTTCTCGATCGCCTGACAGCTAGAAATCAGAATTCGATTCAGCAAGGGGTTCATGCATGCCTAGTTAGGATGTTATGTCTTCTTGTTGGTTGCAATAAGGCCTTTTTAGCTGGTTGCTTTGCCAAGAAGTTGGTGATTTTGGTGCTGGGTTAGATGATCATTCCTCGAGATGCTTGGTATAGTCTTGGTGTGATAAATTTTTAGCTTATTTCTCTCTTTATACTCAGTATCTGTCATGTGTTCATAGTTCACTGTTTTCAGCCTGGTGTTCTCAAGTATGCTATTCTTTCAGGCTATTTTGTTAATTTTTCCAAATATGCCATTCATTCAAGCTATTTTGTTAATTTACAACAACTTATTAGCATTATAAATAAGAAGATAGGTTACGTTTTTCATAGCTTTTCATTATAAATTAGCATTTAAGGGGGAGAATTTAATATTAGCGGATAATACAGTTTTTTTCCCCGCGGCGAGAACACTCGGCGACCGACGCGTCGTCGTAATAGGCCGATCATCCGCCGCGTCGGCCGGTCCTCGACAAATTTCGAAGCTTCAGTCAAAGTATAGCACCTTATTGCAAAGTATAGCACCTTATGGCCAAAGTATAGCACCTTACGCTCTCTGGAAATTCTGAGCTCCGAGTCGTCGCGACCATTTCAGTTTTTTTCCGCGCGACGAGAACACTCGGCGACCGACGCGTCGTCGTAATAGGCCGATCATCCGCCGCGTCGGCCGGTCCTCGCCCAATTTCGAAGCTTCAGGCAAAGTATAGCACCTTATTGCAAAGTATAGCACCTTATGGCCAAAGTATAGCACCTTGTTGAAAAGTATAGCACCTTATGGCCAAAGTATAGCACCTTACGCTCTCTGGAAATTCTGAGCTCCGAGTCGTTGCGACCATTTCAGTTTTTTTCCGCGCGATGAGAACACTCGGCGACCGACGCGTCGTCGTAATAGGCCGATCATCCGCCGCGTCGGCCGGTCCTCGCCCAATTTCGAAGCTTTAGGCAAAGTATAGCACCTTATTGAAAAGTATAGCACCTTATGGCCAAAGTATAGTACCTTATTGAAAAGTATAGCACCTAATGGCCAAAGTATAGCACCTTATGGCCAAAGTATAGCACCTTACGCTCTCTGAAAATTCTGAGCTCCGAGTCGTCACGACCATTTCAGTTTTTTTCCGCGCGACGAGAACACTCGACGACCGACGCGTTGTCGTAATAGGCCGATCATCCGCCGCGTCGGCCGGTCCTCGCCCAATTTCGAAGCTTCAGGCAAAGTATAGAACCTTATTGAAAAGTATAGCACCTTATGGCCAAAGTATAGCACCTTATTGAAAAGTATAGCACCTTATGGTCAAAGTATAGCACCTTATGGCCAAAGTATAGCACCTTACGCTCTCTGGAAATTCTGAGCTCCGAGTCATCGCGACCATTTCAGTTTTTTTCCGCGCGACGAGAACACTCGGCGACCGACGCGTCGTCGTAATAGGCCGATCATCCGCCACGTCGGCCGGTCCTCGACCAATTTCGAAGCTTCAGTCAAAGTATAGCACCTTATTGCAAAGTATAGCACCGTATGGCCAAAGTATAGCACCTTATTGCAAAGTATAGCACCTTATGGCCAAAGTATAGCACATTATGGCCAAAGTATAACACCTTATTTCAAAGTATAGCACCTTATGGCCAAAGTATAGCACCTTATGACCAAAGTATAGCACCTTACGCTCTCTGGGTATAGCACCTTATGACCAAAGTATAGCACCTTACGCTCTCTGGAAATTCTGAGCTCCGAGTCGTCGCGACCATTTCAGTTTTTTTCCGCGCGACGAGAACACTCGGCGACCGACGCGTCGTCGTAATAGGCCGATCATCCGCCGCGTCCGGTCCTCGCCCAATTTTGAAGCTTCAGGCAAAGTATAGCACCTTACTGCAAAGTATAGCACCTTATGGCCAAAGTATAGCACCTTATTGCAAAGTATAGCACCTTATGGTCAAAGTATAGCACCGTATGGCCAAAGTATAGCACCTTACACTCTCTGGAAATTCTGAGCTCCGAGTCGTCGTGACCATTTCAGTTTTTTTCCGTGCGACGAGAACACTCGGCGACCGACGTGTCGTCGTAATAGGCCGATCATCCGCCGCGTCGGCCGGTCCTCGCCCAATTTCGAAGCTTCAGGCAAAGTATAGCACCTTATTGCAAAGTATAGCACCTTATGGCCAAAATATAGCACCTTATTGCAAAGTATAGCACCTTATGGCCAGAGTATAGCACCTTATGCCCAAAGTATAGCACCTTACGCTCTCTGGAAATTCTGAGCTCCGAGTCGTCCAGAACCATTTCAGTTTTTTTCCCCGCGGCGAGAACACTCAGCGACCGACGCGTCGTCGTAATAGGCCGATCATCCGCCGCGTCGGCCTGTCCTCGACCAATTTCGAAGCTTCAGTCAAAGTATAGCACCTTATTGCAAAGTATAGCACCTTATTGCAAAGTATAGCACCTTATGGCCAAAGTATAGCATCTTATGGCCAAAGTATAGCACCTTACGCTCTCTGGAAATTCTGAGCTCCGAGTCGTCGCGACCATTTCAGTTTTTTTCCGCGCGACGAGAACACTCGGCGACCGACGCGTCGTCGTAATAGGCCGATCATCCGCCGCGTCGGCCGGTCCTCGCCCAATTTCGAAGCTTCAGGCAAAGTATAGCACCTTATTGCAAAGTATAGCACCTTATGGCCAAAGTATAGCACCTTGTTGCAAAGTATAGCACCTTATGGCCAAAGTATAGCACCTTATTTGCAAAGTATAGCACCTTACGCTCTCTGGAAATTCTGAGCTCCATGTCGTCGCGACCATTTCAGTTTTTTTCCGCGCGACGAGAACACTCGGCGACCGACGCGTCGTCGTAATAGGCCGATCATCCGCCGCGTCGGGTCCTCGACCAATTTCGAAGCTTTTGCAAAGTATAGCACCTTATGGCCAAAGTATAGCACCTTATGGCCAAAGTATAGCACCTTACGCTCTCTAGAAATTCTAAGTTCCGAGTCGTCGCGAACCATTTTAGTTTTTTTTCCTGCGGCGAGAACACTCGGCGACCGACGCGTCGTCGTAATAGGCCGATCATCCGCCACGTCGGCCGGTCCTCGACCAATTTCGAAGCTTCAATCAAAGTATAGCACCTTATTGCAAAGTATAGCACCTTATGGCCAAAGTATAGCACCTTACGCTCTCTGGAAATTCTGAGCTCCGAGTCGTCGCGACCATTTCAGTTTTTTTTCGCGCGATGAGAACACTCGGCGACCGACGCGTCGTCGTAATAGGACGATCATCCGCCGCGTCGGCCGGTCCTCGCCCAATTTCGAAGCTTCCGGCAAAGTATAGCACCTTATTGCAAAGTATAGCACCTTATGGCCAAAGTATAGCACCTTATTGCAAAGTATAGCACCTTATGGCCAAAGTATAGCACCTTATGGCCAAAGTATAGCACCTTACGCTCTCTGGAAATTCTGAGCTCCGAGTCTTCCAGAACCATTTCAGTTTTTTCCCCGCGGTGAGAACACTCGGCGACCGACGTGTCGTCGTAATAGGACGATCATCCGCCGCGTCGGCCGGTCCTCACCCAATTTCGAAGCTTCAGGCAAATTATAGCACCTTATTGCAAAGTATAGCACCTTATGGCCAAAGTATAGCACATTATTGAAAAGTATAGCACCTTATGGCCAAAGTATAGCACCTTATGGCCAAAGTATAGCACCTTACGCTCTTTGGAAATTCTGAGCTCCGAGTCGTCGCGTAAGGTGCTATACTTTGGCCATAAGGTGCTATACTTTTGCCATAAGGTGCTATACTTTGCAATATACTTTTGCCATAAGGTGCTATACTTTGCAATAAGGTGCTATATTTTGGCCATAAGGTGCTATACTTTGTAATAAGGTGCTATACTTTGACTGAAACTTCGAAATTGGTCGAGGACTGGCCGACGCGGCGGATGATCGGCCTATTACGACGACGCGTCGGTCGCCGAGTGTTCTCGTCGCGCGGAAAAAAACTGAAATGGTCGCGACGACTCGGAGCTCAGAATTTCCAGAGAGCGTAAGGTGCTATACTTTGGCCATACGGTGCTATACTTTGGCCATAAGGTGCTATACTTTGCAATAAGGTGCTGCTATACTTTGCAATAAGGTGCTATACTTTGGCCATAAGGTGCTATACTTTACAATAAGGTGCTATACTTTGCCTGAAGCTTCGAAATTGGGCGAGGACCGGCCGACGCGGCGGATGATCGGCCTATTACGATGACGCGTCGGTCGCCGAGTGTTCTCGTCGCGCGGAAAAAAACTAAAATGGTCGCGACGACTTGGAGCTCAGAATTCCAGAGAGCGTAAGGTGCTATACTTTGGCCATAAGGTGCTATACTTTGGCCATAAGGTGCTATACTTTGCAATAAGGTGCTATACTTTGGCCATAAGGTGCTAT